GCATAGGTGAGTGATCGTCCAGTGCTCTGGAGCCATTTCTGACCTCCCCTTGGGTTGGGTGCGGCGGTGGAGGAGGCAGGCCTCTGTTGTCTATTCCGTTGGTTAGAACTAGCCGTGGTTGGGCCAGTGGAGTTTGAACACCAAGGCTGGATCTCTTTGTCCCTGCTTGTAGGGCTGTTGGTATATATATATCGAATGATGGACGAATGTTCACATGTCAGATCTGCTCAGTTTAATCTTCTCTGTAAAAGTGGTTTGATAGCATTCTCTCAGAACAAATTAAGGTTTGTCCAGGTTGAGACCAATACAAATATGGACAGAGTTCTGTATTGAAGGTTAGGTTACAGCCACCTATATTCTTTTTGGCAGGAGGTTTTGGGTAAATAAACTTCTCTTATTCTGGTTATGGTAAATTATAAGTAGCTCAACTTCCACAAAAGAAGACAAATTAAACCAATGGAAAAAATGCTTCTCTAACTTGACCTAGCTTTCATGAAATTAGTAACATGAATATTTCATGTGACTCATGGACTTCAAGACTTAGTAGAATAAACCGGAAATGGTTCTGTTCTAAAATACTAGTCACCCTTTGCCATCTATATTCTTTCTGAAACTTTGCAGATGTGAACAACCTAACAGTCATAGTATGTATTGGCTACTAACCAATGGTTGAATGACTGGACCCGTCCCCAGGCATGTGGGAAGAAAGGCCTGGTCATCTAGTTCAGAAAACCACTAAAAACCCTGTGGATCTCAGACTCTACTCTGGCCCTTACAGAGCCATTATGAGTTGGAACGGATTCATGTCATCTGTCACTGGCATAGACATAAGTGTCAGGAGCGCTAGTGAATCAATGAGTTATGTACAGAGATGCTGACCCAGGGTCAGCAGTTCGAAGCTACCGTTTGCTCTACTGTCGTTAGATTGGCTGTATGCGCTCATGGAGGATTTAAAGTCTCAGAACCCCAAAGGTTAGTTCTGTTTTGTCCTCTCACTGATTTTGCGTTGAGTCAGAATCGAATCAATGGCAGTGGGTTTGGTGGTGTGCTTTCTTGTTTGTTTGTTTTTGTTCACCAAAAACTCATTGTCATCAAGTCAATTACAGCTCATAATGACCCTGTACAAGAGGATAGAACTGCCCCTGTGAGTTTCTAAGGCTATAACTCTGGACAGGAGTAGAGCCCTGTGTGTCTCCTAAGGAGCGGCTGGAAGTTTCGTACCGTTGACCTTGGAGATTGCATGCAGCCTGTTGCATAACCAGTACACCACTAGCTCGCTACACCGGCTTATAGTCACTTTTACATATGCAATACATCCTAGAGTCATGGAAAAAGAAAAGAATCAAGGGTGAAAATGTACAGAAATCTCTATTTTTTTTCCTGAGTAGGATCCAATGAAGTATTTTCATTTACTTATATACCACCAAGGGACCAAGCATTAATTGAGACACGATAGTAATTTTAAGCAATTAAATATTTCTCATTATACTATTTCACAAAGATTTCTTTTGTGGGAGCATGACTCAAACACCATTTTATCACCCATTAGTGGGCTGTAAGATCATTTTACTGTGTTATAGCCAGTATTTTCAAAAAATGAAGTGATAAGTTAGGAAATACCGTAATACCTGAAATATAGTAGGGATAAGTAGGAGGTAATGTTTCAAGAATATCTGTTTAAAACTTATATGAGTGTGTGTCTATCTAAATATAAGTATATTTATTTTTATGAAAAAATATATTACCCAACATTTGCCAATTTTGTGTTTTTCACATATACAATCTAATAGTATCAGCACCTGAATCCTGTTATGCTACCGTCACCAATTCATGTTGCCAAGTCTTCCATGTGTGTGAAGAAGATTTCAGTGCTTGCTAACAATGCCTGGGTCTTCCCCTCTTCCTCCTGCCCTTGAGAACCTTCAGTAAACTTTTATCCTTGTACATTTGCCTATTCTATGAATGAGGGCATTTCAAAAAGTTCCCGAGAAAATGAACTTTAAAACTGGGAGACTTTTTCCATGAACTTTGTGTAGCCCTCGTATCTCATGCGAGTGAGCTTATGTTAGTCCTTCTGTGATTGATTTGTTTCAATTGACATAATGCTCCAAAGATCCATCTCTGTTGCATCACGTGTCAAAGCTTCATTTTTCTTGCTGATTGAGACTTATTTCATGGTTACGCGTGTGTATCACATTTAGTGTATGCATTTGCCAGTTGATGGACATGTGGCTGTAGTGCTGCAGTGGACCTTGGTCTTCACGTGTCTCACTGCGTCAGCAGTCAAGGGAAGGACCTTTTTGACAGGTGCAGTCATTAGCCAGTCTGCCAGTCTGGGGCAGCACGGAAAGCAAGAGTTAGAGGAGAGAGCTTAGGTGTCGTTTTGAATGTCCATATGGAAGAAGCGCTCATAGTGAGAGCCAACCAGCTGACCAAGGACTCCAGATTCACACTTGCTAATCAAAATTTCTATGGGTGTTTTCTTCATTTTTTAGTGTCTGAAAAAATGAATATGTTGATCCACAATAATTCAATAGGCAAGAATAGTTTAAAGCCAGTTTTGTGAGGAGAAAGTGCATGAAATTAACAATAGCAAGATCCTTTTGTATTCTAAAGTCCCTGGGTGGATGGAGCAAGCAGCTAAGGCTTTGCCTGCTCAAGGCCACCCAGCGATGCTTTGGAACAAAGAAACGTCTAGAGATTCTGACTTTCACCCATTGGAAACCCCGTGGAGCACACTACTACTGTGACACACGTAGGTAGGGTCACCACGAGTAGAAATTGACCCACTGGCCACTGGTGGTTGGTTGTACATTATAGTGTTGTACTCTGAGTTGTAGGAGCCCTACTAGCGTAGTGTTGCATCTATGTTGGGCTGCTAACCAGAAGGTCAGCAGTTTGACATGATTAGTTGTTCTGAGAGAGAAAACATGCCGTCTGCTTTCATAAGGATTTACAGCCTGAAAAACCCAAGAGGCCATTCTGCTGTGCCCTATAGGGTCCCTCTGCGTCAGAATCGACACAACAGTAGTGAGTTTTTATTATGAGTTATGTTAATGATACTGTGATAATCAGAAGAGTCGGGGGAAGGTGGGGAGAAGAGGGGAGGAAGAGGGAACTGATGGCGATGATCTACACATAGCTACCACCACCACCACCCCAGGGGGACGAACGGGGGAAGGGAGACAGAGGTCAGTGTACGATATGAACATAATAGTGATTTATAATTTATCAAGGAGTCATGAGGGTAAGGGTGTGGAGGGAGGGCAAAGAGAGGAGCTGATAGCAAGAGCTCAATAGAAAGTAATTGTCTAGAAAATAATGATGGCAACACATGTACAAATATGCTTAATACAATTGATGTATGGAGTGTTAAAAGAGTTGTGAGAGCCCCCAATAAAATGGTCTTTTTTTAAAAAAATAAAATGATCTTTTAATAAAAAAATATATATAGTGTGATACTGATGTAAAAATAGATGCACAGATTTATGGAACAGAGAACATTAAGAAGAGAAGCTGGTCTGTCGATATGAGCACTTAACACAATGGAGGAGGAAGCAACACATATCAGTAGAGATGAGTCCTTGTTGAGTGAGTAGCTTAGGATTACTTGGAAACTAAACCCATTTAGATTTTGTTTGTGCTACATATAAAAAAGGAACCCGGATGGCACACTGTTTAAGCACTCAGCAGCTAGCTGAAAGTTAGGTGATTAGAACCCCTATACTGGCTCTGTGGAGAAAGACCTAGTAATCTGCTATTGTAAAGAGTATAGTCAAGAAAACCCTATCATCAGGTATCAGGCATCAAAGACCCAGAACAAAAAATCATATCAATGTGAATGAGGGGGGAGTGCAGAGTGGAGACCCACAGCCCATCTGTTGACAGTTGGACGTCCTCTTACAGAAGGGTCACAAGGAAGAGAAGAGCCAGTCAGGGTGCAGTATAGCATCGATGAAACATACAACTTACCTCTAGTTCTTTAATGCTTCCTCCCCCACCTATTATGACTCCAATTATACCTTACAGATGTGACTAGACCAGAGCATGTACACTGGTACCGATAAGAACTCTCAACGGAGGGAATCCAGGACCGATAAACCTATCAGGACCAAGAATGAGAGTAGCCATACCAGGAGGGGAAGGAGGAGGTTGGGGGCATAGGAGAAAGGCGAAACAGATCACAATGATCTACATATAATCCCCTCCCTGGGGGATGGACAACAGAAAAGTGGGTCAAGGTAGACTTCAGTCAGTGGAAGACATGAAAAAATAATAATTTATAAATTATCAAGGGTTCATGAGGGAAGGAGAGTGAGTGAGTGAGTGAGGGAGGGAGGGAAAAAAAAATCAGCCGATACCAAGGACTCACATAGAAAGAAAATATTTTGAAAATGATGACGTGTACAAAAATATTTGACACAGTGGATGTATGTATGGATTGTGATAAGAGCTGTATGACGGGGAGGGAGGGGAAAAATGAGGACCTAATGCCGGGGGTTTAAGTGGAGAGAAAATGTTTTGAGAATGATGTACAAATGCGCTTTACACAATTGATGTGTGTATGGATTGTGATAAGAGTTGTATGAGCCCCTAATAAAATGATAAAAAAAAAAGAGCTGTATGAACTCCCAATGAAATGATTTTAAAAAGAAAAAAGAAAATCATATCGGACAGTCTCAGCCTGTTACATGGGTCTCTAAGAATTAGAATAGACTCCATGACCCTGAACAAAAACATAACAACGAAATGAAAATTGATTAGAGATAAAGTATAAAAGTAAAGTCATAATAAAGAAGAAAATGAGCTTATATCTAACTGATTTCTGACTGGAGAATATGTAATATATGACATTTCAAAATGAAAATATAAAAATTAAAATATTGTAAGCATTAGAAGACATTAAGGAAAAATTAATAGTCTTGAGTATTTGAAAAAGAGAAAAAGCCATAACTTGTGTTCATGTAAAAATAACCTCACAGTTAACATAGGCAAGTTGGTCAACAACATTTTCTACAAGCACGACAAATGATTTCTTTAAATTATGGAGTTAATAAAAGTTGACTGTGAAAAGCTTCCCAGTAAAAAAAGGACAGTAGTTTTAGAGCATAAAAAATATGTCAAACGTGAACAGTAATTTTTTTCTACTTTAAACATTTCAATTTCCATTTTTCAAAATAAATTATATTTTGGCTTTTACATATAACAGTTCATTTATCCATTATATCAAGGGGACATGTATAAATGTTGCTATCAACAATTTCAAAACATTATCTTTCTTCTTGAGCCCTTTGATATTACCTCTTCTTTATTCCCTCCCTGTTCCACCCTGGCACCCTTGCGACCCCTTCATATGTTGTATTGTTATTATTATCTTCCACCCCCCATTCTGTCCCTACACTTACTATCCTGGTGTTTGTCCCCCTTGAGGGGTTATTCCACCATCATTTCTATCTCCCCCCACTCCCCTTCCCTTCCTCTTCCTCTTGGAATCGTTACTTCCATTACTGTTTCTGAGGGGTTTGTCTATGCTGAATTCCGTGTATTGAAAGCTCTCATCTGTATCAATGTGTGTACACTGGTCTAGCAGTATTTGCAAGGTATGGCTGAGATCATAATGTGGGGAGGAAGGATTAAAGAACTAGAGGGAAAAATAAAGAAAGAACTAGAGGACTGTTGTTTGTTTCATTGACACTAAACTTCCCCTGGATCTATCTTCTATTCTGTGTGGCCCCTCTGTGTGGGAATGTCCAGTTGTGTGGGAATGTCCAGTTGCCCACCGATGGGTTCTGGGTCTCTACTTTGAGCTCGATGAGGTTGTTTATTTTTGAACTTCTGATGCCTGTTTCCATGGACATCTCATGATCACACAGGCTGGTATACTTTTTCCATGTGCTTTTTGTTGATTTCCTGCTAGATGGCCGCTTGTTTGGCTTCAAGCTTTTAAGACCCCAGACAGTATATCTTTTAATAGCTGGGCTTCATCTGCTTTCTTCACCACATTTGCTTCTGCACTCAGTTTGTCTTCAGTGATCATGTGGGGAAGGTGGGAATCACCCAGTGCCATATTATTAGAACCAAGTTTTCTTGTGTTGAGAAAAGGCTTAAGTAGAGACCCAAAGTCCATCCATTCCCTCAATGTATTCCCATATAAATATATGTACAAAAGCCAGTACCCCAACTTTTATGTATTAATATATTTACAAATGTACATGCCTATGTTTGTACCTCTATAAATAGTTTTGCTTCCTAGTTCTTTCATCTATTTCCTTTTACCTTTCTCCCGTTCCACTATCATGCTCAGCCCTCATTTGCCTATCAGTAATTCCTCTTGGCTAGATTGCAGTTGCTCTAATTCCACCAGGAGCACTATACTCCCCTCACTGTCAATTTTAGATTCCTAGTTGTTCCCCTGTCCATGACATTCTTTGTTACCCCTCCCTTCCCTCCACCTGCTCTTCCTCCAATTCCCTCCCGGAAAATGAACAGTCATTTTTATCATTTAAGAATTAAGGAATTAAAATTTCAAACCATAAAAAAATCACTTTTCACTGATACGTGAAAACACTCAATATGCTAATATTGAACACTTATGCCAGAAGGTGGCATAGTTTTCCTGGAAATTGGTTTCGCAGTAAATAACAATAGCTTTGGTCCCTGGTTGATGCGATCGGTTAATACAACTTGGCTGAAAAGTTGGAGGATTGAGTCTTCCCAGGGGTGCTTCAAAAGAAAAACCTAGAGCTTTACTCCTGAAAAATCAACTGAAATCTTGGGGGAGCACAGATTTACTTTGACACACATGGAGTCCTGCGACTTTGAGTAGCCTCAGTGACATTTGGTAGCTAATGTGAAGAGTCTTAACATTCATGCACATTGATTTACCATTCTACTTGGAGGAAGCCTTCTTTAGGAATTGAGTATTAATGAACACAGGGCATAAAAAGTATAATGATGCCGGATCTTGAGACTGGATTTCTGCCGCCTAACTCACTGATGACCATTTAGTGCAAAGAATTCATATTTTGTGTTGCTCTTTTCTTTGGCAAACAATTTAGAAAATGGCATAAAATTTACCGAACTGTCAACGTCTTTCTTCTTTTAGGGACTACACCGGAGAATGACAAAGAGAACCTAAACTTGGAAACTTATAGGGACCAGGAACCTCCAGATGCCCCTTGTCCCATCTCAGAAGAGGTCCCTCCTCAGGCTTCCTTGAGTGGCTTCTTCAGTGAGGATGAGCCAAGGCGCTTTGGAGAAGGAGAGCATCTCCCTGAGGCGCAGGCAAGCCTCCAGGCTGAGGGAAGAGGGGAGCAGCTCTCTCCTCGGGAAAGGAATTCTGGGAAACAGCTAGGCCTGCATTTGCCTAATCCTCACCCAGGAGACCTGTCCATGTTGTGGCTTGAGGAAAAGGCAGAGGCCCCCCAGAAAGGCCAGCTGAGACCCGCCATGGTCCAGAAACTCCCCACCTGTACGGAGTGTGGGAAAACCTTTTACAGGAATTCTCAGCTTGTGTTTCACCAGAGAACTCACACCAGAGAGGCATACTTTCAGTGCCCCACCTGCAAAAAAGCCTTTTTACAGAGTTCAGACTTTGTGAAGCATCAGAGAAGCCACATGGGAGAGAAGCTTTACAAATGCGATCACTGTGGGAAAGGCTTCAGCGACTTCTCTGGGCTGAGTCATCACAAGAAAATCCACACGGGAGAGAAGCCCTATAAATGTCCCGTCTGTGAGAAAAGCTTCATCGACAGGTCAAACTTTATCAGACATCAGCGGGTCCACACAGGAGAGAAGCCGTACAAGTGTTCTCACTGTGGGAAAAGTTTCAGCTGGAGCTCAAGCCTTGATAAACATCAGAGATCTCACTTGGGGAAGAAGCCCTTTCAATAGCTGCCCTCTTGTAGTTCATTTCTCTCCGACCAGTTAAAAACACTCTGCTTTTGGAAGCGTCTGTTGGAATTCCTTTTTGTGCCTTGATCTATTTTCATGTGCTGGGGATGGGAGAACCAGCAGGTAGTTTTGCGCTTGGAGGGAAGATTGGGCTCCTGGCAGCTTACTTTCCTGCCTCTGTGTCATGAGAAAGAATTGTTCTAATCTCTCAGCTCATCACTGCGGACTCCTTATGGAGGATGGGCATTATTTGGAGATGCAGCTTTAAAAGTGTTCTTTGGCCAGAGTTTCGGAGAGCATCTGTAATTGGTGTTGATGGGAAGAACTTCGTGTCAGCACTTCAGTGCTGGGTTTCTATAGCATGTCACCCGGTACCAAAGGTTCAGCAGACGGAGGACCATAGAACTCAGGTGTTCTCTGACGTACTGGTGAAAAACTAACCGGAAGTACCCCCCACCCCACCTTGAATAAACTTAGTAGAGTCACATCTCATCTCATTTGTGTTTAAAGTGTTCATTCTGATCACTGTCCCTCAAAATGCATTTTCTCACAGAAGATCCCAAATGGTCATTGAAGTTCTAGATACAAGAGCAGAATAATTAATGGTGCTCACTTAAGTGAGATTGGCTGGGGCCCTGTTCAAAAAACTCCCTTCCATCAAGTGGGTTCTGTCTCACAGCAGCCCTGTAGGACAGAATGAAATGGCCCCTGCAGGTTTCCAAGAAAAAACGTTAAGGGGAGTAGAAAGCCTCGTCTTTTTCCTGAAGAGAGCTGGTAGTTACGAACTGCTGACTTTGAGTTTAGCATCCCAACTCATAACCCACTGCCACCATGGCTCCCTTAGCCAATGCTAGGCAACAGTTTTCCTCATGTCAGTTGCTTTGGTGCCCTGATATCCCACTGAGAGCATCATTTTTCCCAGAGTGCTTTGTGCTTTTAAATTATTCCCCCTTTTTTGGGTCTGTGGATGTTAGGAAGCAATCAATGTCCCTGATGTTTACATACTGTCTCTAGATGGCATAGTGGATTAGGAATAGGGCTGATAGACACATGGTCAGCAGGTCAAGCCTAACAGCCACTCAGTGGGAGCAAGATGAGGCTTCTGCTCCCATGAAGAGTTACAGCCCTGGAAACTCCAAAGGGCAGTTCTCCCCCGACTTAATAGGGTCCACGTGAGTCACCATTGACTGGGTGGCAATGAGTGCATTAGGTTTCTAAGTGAACACTAGTTGCTTCAAAAATTTGGTGGGAAAATGATCTCATTCATTTTTTCAGAAATTAAAAAAATCTTCAAATGTCTGACCTGTAAAAGTTACCTACTTGTTGGAAAGTATTCTTTTTCTGATTTAGAGTGAGACTTCCACCTGTCTTTCGTTTGGTCCTGCTCCGGCCTGACCGTATTGTGCTGTTCTCAGTGAGGAACTGCAAAGAAAATATTACAAACTTGGCTCTCTTCCTGCAAACAGATGACTTCATAGGTAGGAAACTGAGCGAGGTCCTGTTTATTGAAAGAGGAGGGGACTGACATACAAAATTTTAAAGAAGAGAAAAAACAAAACAAAAAGACAGAAAAGAAAAAAAAGGCCTGTTAGTAGTTCAAGGTCTGTTTGTTGACCTTTAGGAGTCCATCCATCCATTGTATCAAGCACATTTGTACATTTGTTGCCATCATCATTTCAAAACATGGGATCAGCTCATGGGATCCACTCATCCCCTCCCTCCACCGCCCTCCGCCCCTCATGAACCTTTGAGAGTTTATAAATTATTATTTTTTCATATTTTGCACTATCCAATGTCTCCCTTTACCCCCTAATCTGTTGTCCATCCCCCTGGGAGATGGTTATAGATAGGCCATTGTTTTCGGTTCCTCCTTTCTTCCCCACCTTGCCCTTACCCTCCTGGTATGGCTATTCTCCATTTTGGTCCCGAGGAGTTTATCTGTCCTGTATTCCCTGTATTTCCAGCTCTTATCTGTACCTGTGTACATGCTCTGGCCTTGCCAGATTTGTAAGGGTCATGATAGTGGGGGTGAGGAAGCCTTAAAGAACCAGAGGAAAGTTGTATGTTTCACCGATCGATGTTATACTGCACTCTGACTGGCCTGTCTTCTCCCCAAGACCCTTCCGTAAGGGGGTGTCCAATTGCCCACAGATTGGCTTTGGGCTTCCACTCCGTACTCCCTGCCTCCATTCACAATGACCTGATTTTTTATTCTGGGTCTTTGATGCCTGGTTTGTTGACACCTCATGATCATACAGGCTGGTGTGCTTTTTCCATGTGGGCTTTGTTGCTTCTGAGCTAGCTGGCCACTTGTTTACGTTCAAGTCTTTAAGACCCCAGATGCTGTATCTTTTGATAGTTGCGCACCATCAGCTTTCTTCACCATATTTGCTTATGCACCCATTTGCCTGAATCCCCTCTTATGAAACCACAGGACCCCACTCCTTGGAGCCTGTTAATTTGCCTCCTTACTACTGTTTTATGGAACATGCTTTCTAACATGCTGATGCATCGAGTTTCACAGATTCCTGGTTCTGAGCCACTCTTGCTCTGACAAGAGTTATGTTTATTCATCATACATTTGATCAAAAGGGAAGGATGTGGCCCTGTATTTCTGTTGGAGCAGTGGTTCTCAACCTGTGGGCCACGACCCTTTCACAGAGGTCACCTAAGACCATTGGAAAACACCGCTCTATGCATCTCCAGGCGCGTCCGCCCACATGCAGGTACACCATCTAGCGGACCCCATCCCATATACCCTGTACAAATACAAGTGACAGGGTTGGTGCCATAAGGTACTTATGCGGACCAGTCACACATGTAGAGGGCAGCTACTGTGTAGAGAGCAGCTACTGTGTTGAAAGCAGTTACTCTGTTAAAAGAAGATACTGCCCACTCACAGAAGCCCATTCACAGCCAAGGTTAAAGATGTTCCTCAGACAGCACAAGAGGAGGTCATTGAACTTATTGACAGCAATGCAGTGAGAACTGATTTTTCTACAATGCCAGTTACAAAATTCTGGATCAAGTGTTTGTAGTCATATCCTGTTCTGTCTGAGATTGTGTTGTGCCGCCGCCTTCCATTTCCAACAGCATATCTTTGTGAAACAGGGTTTTCAGCTTGTTGGTTACCAAGTCTAAATACAGAAGTAGACTTGTGGAAGATGATCTTCATTGTGCTCTTGCAAAGACTACCCTGAGAATTTCTGATCTGGTGAGGAAGAAGCTATCTGAACCTTCACACTGACGTTGACTTATTACTCATAGTGTTGCAAAATGTAACTATGTAGTTTACTGTTGTTATATTAAGCCTGTTACCCGTGCCACACCATGCTTCAAGACAAAATTTCATTTATTTGTAATTATAAATAAATATGTCATAATATATAATTATATATTGTTTCTGTGATTAATCACTATGCTTTAATTCTGTTAAATTTGTATAAATGAAAATACATCCTGCATATCAGATATTTACATGATGATTCATAACAGTAGCAAAATTAGTTATGAAGTAGCAGCGAAAGTAGTTTTAAGGTTGGGGGGTCACCACCACATGAGGAACTGTATTAAAGTGTCGTGGCATTCAGAAGGTTGAGAACCAATGTGTTAAGGTTAATATGAGATGTAGTATCAGAATTATGGTAAATAGTTGCAACTCCTCCCACCCCACTGCTTGAGTTTTTATGGCAGGGTGTGTGAGTCTGGGTTGACTAGAGAAACAAATTCATACACACTCATATGTGTGCAAGAGAGACCTTTATGTCAAAGAGAAAGTATACATTAAGAAAACATCCCAGAGCAGGCCATATCAAGTCCATAAGTCTGATAAGTCCATAAGCCAGCCTCTTAGCACTGGTGTGGGCCTCCACATGGTTCCTACAGCTCTAGGGCTCTGGCTACTCCAACTTAGCTCCGTGTGCCTTGTCAACAGGAATGTCTCACAGAGCGTGTATCTGGCCTCCAGTGGGCTACTTATCTCCTTTGTGCCTCCAGATGAGGTCATCAAGCTGCGACCAGATTGATAGGCTAACCTCCACCCCTTCACTCTTAATAATCTCAGATTGATACCAGATTATGTAAGTACCGCACAGGGAGTAAAACTCCCTATCCTTTTAAGTTATACAATTCAGTGGATTTTAAAAACTATATTCACAAAGTTGTGCAACCATCATCACCAGCTTCTAATTCCAGGGCATTTACCCCTCCACCGAAAGAAACCCTGGAATCAATGGCAGCCACCATTAACAGTGGGGTAGTGAGTTCTCTATTATTGTTTAGTTGTCTCCTGCTCTCTTTAAATTCATTCAGTTTTCATGTATTTTGAGGGCTTTTATGCTGTATGCATATATGCTTATAATTGTTATATGTTCTTAATAGACAAATTTTGATCACAATAAAATGATCTTTGTCTTCAGGAACAATTTTTGACCTTAAAGTATGTGTTATCTGATACTAGTATCATCTCACAGTTCTTGGTTTGCTCTATCTCGCTCTCTATATATATATTTCTATTTTAACCTATTTGTGTTTTTGAATCTTAAATGTGCATCTTGTAGCTGAATCATTAAAAAATCATTCTGCCAATGCTTGTATATTAATTGTAGTGCTTAATTCAGTTAAACTTAGTGAAATGCTAATAAGGTAGGATTTACATACAGCCTTTTTTCTACGCGTTTCGGGGCTTCCCTCTCCATCCCACGGCCTTCTTTTGCGGTAAGTGGACATCTGTTAGGGAACCAATTTAGTCCTTTGGTTTCTTTCACCATATTTGTCTGCATTACCGTCTTATCTTTTGTCGTCTTATAATTTACATTGCTTCCTATCAGCTGCTTGAGGCAGCTCTCTTTAGATCAGGATAAAAAAGGGAGTTACAAACAATAAAAATATGTATAATATCATTTATATTTATCTAATGACATTCATATTATATGCAACTTTTCCTTACCAGTGTTCCTTATATTTTCAGGTGGATTTGTAGTCCTTTCAAACTACTGTCCAGTACCTTTTCATTTTATTCTGTTAAATTCTCTTTAGGATTTCTTGTAGATCGACTAGGGCGTCTTTTACTTTTTCTTTCAAATGTGGGGCTATGTTAATTTTGATCTCATGTTTCAAAGAAACTTTAGTTGGATATAGAATTCTTGGCTAATCAAGAATGTTTTCTATCAGAATGTCTGTTATTCCACTGTCTCATGGCTCCTATGATTTCTGGCTCCTATGATGATATATTAGCTCTTCCTCTTATTGAGAATACCTTATAGATGATGAATTGTGTATCATTTGCAGGTTTTCAGATTCTTTATATTTCAACAATTTGTTATGGTGTAATCACTTTGAGCTTTTCCTACTTGTAGTTGGTTGAGCTTCTTGGATGTTTAGATTACTATTTCTCTAGGCTGAAGGTTTTACTCATTTCCCCACAATCTTTCTGTTCCTTTTCCTCTTCTTGTGGGTCTCTCGTGATGCATTTTCTAGTGTACTGAATGTTG